CATACCGTATACCATATCCCTCTACACGCATATACCTATATGGTAGTTTCCCTAAATTACTGTTCCCAAAATGGGGGAAATGTATATAGGGACCCGTATTATAATAGGAACCCAAATTAGGACCCCGTATTATAGGGAATTTAGACCAATCAACACGTACTGGTCAGGGAGGAGTGAATGTAAGATCGAGGATTTGGGGTTGGAGCATGGGGATTACCATGGAATTCGTGTTTAGAGTTCTAAACCTTAAACGGACATGATTCGTGAGGAGGATGTAAGCTGGGACGTCTGATCTTGAAAACCCAGGCACTAAACTCTAAACAGCAAAAGCTTCAGCTACCCGAGCACCACACGGCTGCTGTCGGAGCCATGCAAACAGCCTCCCAGTTGAAGGGGCACACGGCTTAGGGTTTAGGGTTTGGGGTTTAGGGTTTTAAGGCTTTAGGGTTTATGGGGGTTTTAAGGCTTAGGGTGTGCAAAAGAAGTAATTGTAGATGCAACCCAGCGCGCCCCCTGAGTCTAGTAGACATGGTTCCCATTCATACGTGAAGTCTAGAGTTGTAGTTACGAAGGCATTAGGTTGTGGGCCATTTGCCGTCCAAGCAGAAGCGTAAATGCGTGAATACTTTGACTATGGACATTCCACTGTGGTCGCCTTGTTGTGTAATGATTATCTAAAATCATTGCTTTGTGACGTGGTTTTCTGTTTTCAACCGTTTCCCGAAACGGCGTTCGGAAGTACTTGGAGGATCTCTTGACTTAGTGAAATTTACTAAGCAGTCAATTGACTTAGCAACTGGCTTACGGGGTTATTCTTAAAACACATATATACAAGTTATTGGAGATAGTAGGCAGTCTTGCTATCATAAAACATCATTCTAGTATTGCAAGAGGAGAATTCAACACATCATGTGACATCTGAAGAATGCTTGGTGCCCTAAACCCTAAACCCCCTAAACCCTTGTTGTTAAGGACTTGGTCCTTCGAAAATTCTCAACAGGAGCTTTCCATGTTTGTTCACAGGAGGGTAGGGCTCCGAATTTGAAATTTTGGGTCTGATGATCTAAGTTTTTTATGTAGGCCCTGGGGCTTAGGGCCTATAACTCTAGGGTAAGCTGATTAGGGTTCAGGGTTGGGGGTTTAGGTTTTGGGAAGTCAAATGGACAGGAGGTAAGCGGTCCATGACCACTCGAAATTCCATACCAGAAGCCCTACCTGGACCCCCAAACCTATGTAGAATAATGGACTTGATGGCTACTATTATGGGCTTAGGGCTATTATGTTACATACTTTTGGGGTTTAGGTAAACCCTAAACCCACCCTGAAGCCCTAAACCCTAAACCCTAAACCCCACTCTCGGGTCATGTTCTGCAACCCCAAGTCCGACATGCTTTAGTTAGGCCCCTCTTATTTTGATCCTCCAGGACCTCTGCAACGAAGGCCCTAGATTTCAGGTTTAGCGTTAAGAGGTCTGAGGGACTACCTGGGCCCCAAAAGTATGTAAAACACTGGCCTTTATGGCTATCATTATGGGTTTAGGGCTATGATTTTACATACTTTTGGGGTTTAGGTAGGGTTGAGGACTTAGGATTTGGACTTGTGCCCCCCGAAACTAACATGGAACTCCACGGCGCCTTTCAACAGCAGCCAGGCAGTTCACCTCATGTTATCCTGGGTATGAGACTGACTAGCCCAAACCAAAAGCCCGATAACCTTACTGCGGGTTAGTAGGGAATCGGAATAAGGGAATATAACCCTTATATGTGTATAAGTATAAGTATAGATAGATAGATAGATAGATTACATGGGGATTATATTCCTTAATCCCTCCTACTACTAAGCACCATCAAGAAACAGCTGCAAACATCAGCCGTGTGACGTTTCACATGTAGCCGTTAAACAGTGGTCCTCCACGCCTGTGCAACATCGGCTGGCTGCACAAAAAAAAGAGAGATCATTTTAGCTGTTGACGGGGGAATCTGCCGTCCCTCAACTTAGCTTTTTTCAGCTTAGGGTTTGAACCCTCTGTCCGGTAGAAGGGGCTCTATGGGGTTCCCATGTCACATGAGTTGGGGGACTCTACACACTTAACCCTATAAACCCCATATGAGCCACAGTCTACACTCCGAGTATCCCCCTTAATATCCTCTTTGATGCTCCCCTATAGAATTCCCCATAAATACCCCCTTTGAGGAGTTTAGACCCTAAACCCTAAACCCTTAGCCCTATATAACCGTCCTCTACATAGACCCCCTTTAAGAAGTTTAGACTATAGCCCATATAGCCTAGCCCCTAAACACTGGAGTAGAACAGAAACTCAGGCCTCTGAATGCGGGCATCTGCACTTTCGGTGCTTTCCACCTACACAAGAAACAGAGGTTTCAGGCTCTGAGAGAGTCAGTGTAATGGATTCAGGGTTTGGGATTGAGGGTTTAGGGTTTCGTGCTCAGGGGGATGCGTTGCTTCAGAGATACGGTTGGTACTAGGAATCCCGTATGACGTCAGGAACCCCATAACTTCAGAATTCAGGTTTTCTGGTAGACCCCGAAGAATGTTTAATGACAGCAGGTACCGAGGTCATCATTGGCTTGAAGCTGAACAAATGTGATGGACTCAGTTGCGGGGGCGGCGTCGAGTCGTCAGATAGAAAAAGACACAGCGCTGCAGAAGAAACACACTAGTCGTAGGACATGTCATCTGGCGTCCTTAGGGCAGTTAGGGGAATTCATTCTTTCTCGCTCCGTGCCACCAAAAAACAAAGCTCATGCCCACTTAGCATTCAACTGCCACCGCTGCCAGATGCTCATTTGCCCAACCAAAGTCGGGACGGGGCCTTGTCATACCCTCCCGGAAACTAACATGGAAACCCAAAAAGGGCCCTATAAAGACTACAGTCCTTTTAAAGGTGGGCTATATGGGTTTCCACCTTTTAAAGGTGGGCTATATGGGTTTCCATGTGAGTTTGGGGGAAACACTGGGATCGGGTTAGGCAGGTCCAGCTTTAAAGTCTCCAATCATAACAAGAGTCCGCCCCCTTTTTGGGATCGGGCTGCGAATCGGGTTGCCTCGGATTGCGTAGGCACTCTCAAAAGAAACTCTAGATAGAACTGAAGAATGACCCTTATTCCCTAAGAACCCCAATGTATGCCTATTATAATATGATACTGTCCATTTTCTTTTTTTCCATTATCCCTATATCGCCCCTACATAACCCCTATATCATCCCTGGAATCCCCCTAAGCTCCTAGCTTCTCCAGTTGGTTAGGTGGAAGTGTCAGGCTGAGGGCCCATGATCTGACTTGGAAAGCTACAATTGAGAGAATGTAAAAAGAGTGGTGACCGCGTACACTTATAATGAAGATTAATTTAGAGTGATTTCAATGCCCAATTTAAGGCCATTTTGGCACTGCTCCCTATAATTCCCTATAAGCTGCCCAGATAACCTAGACCCTCCTGCTACCCTTTATTTATCCCAAATAGGGACCATATACCCATATTTACAGGGTACAAGGAGGGTCCTGGAATGGATATATGCAGGGTTAGATCTTAGGGCTTCCAGGGCTTCCAGACCAGGTTTCATGCATACTACATTGGCCTGAAGAATTACCAATATCATTTTGAGGTCCATTCGAGATACCATATAATATAAGCAAAACAAGGAATATGGAACCATAATATTGGTAATCATTTAGGCCATAATATACCATAATATACCATAATCTACTATAATCTACTATACTACGATATACTATAAGATACCACAATATACTAAACCATAATACCTTAAGGAATATGGAAGCTATTTAGGCCCCTATATATGGTACTTATTTAGGCCCCTATCTTAAGCTTTCTGGAGCTTGGGGTCCTTTGGAACCCTTCAGATGCATGGGACTACAAGGGATCGGTTTAGGGTTTGGGGTTTAGGGCTTAGGGTTTAGTTTTTTTTTTCTCGGACCTTTTCGGGTTTAGGGTTTGGGATTTAGGGTTTAGGGTAAACAATTAACCCTAAACCCTAAACCTGTGGGACTCCATCATGAGGATTCTATACAGGTTCTTCGGAGAAACTCCTCACTTTGACTCCATCACGGAGGGTTTCAGGTTGTGACCTAACTGACTGGGAACCCTAGTGACGAAGATTGTTTTTTTTTCAAAATGAACATGAATCCTGGGGAGTCTCAAGCTTGAACATTGAACACGCAACGACTCACTAAGACCTTGGAACTAGCAATTGAATGACGCAGACCTAACTTTAAACATGACCACAAGCTCAATTGGGAAGGACACTGGCAGGTTAGGCAGTGTACTATCTCCGCTCACTGCACCCACCACAACCCTAGTGTAAAGCTTCATAAGGAGCTCCGGGTTGTGTAAGGTCAAAGTTTTCAAAGTTTTCTGGCTTGGATTTACCGGGCGAGTCATTCGTACAGGCTTATATAGGGGAAAATAGAAGTATGACAAGACGATGTAAGGCCTACACAGGGGAAATTGCCCGCCTGAAGCTTTCAAAGATGTACTGGGTTGCTGTCACGGAATTGAATTTATGTTACTATAGTGGGGAAACCCTAATATTTACCATATATATATATAAATACACCCATTATGGTAACTTAATTCAAATTCCTGAACAGCAACCCAGTGTAGGTCCATTGGACTTCTCCATGACCTGCTAGTGGACATGGTTGGTTCCCCTCGCTTTGATACTGTAGGTATAGGGTTTAGGGTTTAGGGACCATTCATCTCTTGACTGGCCTTTGGTTAGCTGGGATTGAAGACATGGAAGAGAACATGGAAACTATCATACTGGGTTTATATAGGAACTACCATAGGGATCCAGTCCTTCATTCCTAGCTAACCAAAGGTCAGTTCAAGTCAGAGTTACAAAAACCCTTGAAACCCCAAGTCCCAAATACTAGATGCTGTTGTGGTCTGCTCCCAATCAAAGACCTGCAAACCCTAAATCCTAACCTTATATATGATATAGGGATGGCTCAAAACACTGCCTTCCCCGGACCCAGCAATTCGTCGGGGCCAGGCGGAACCTGCAACAGAGGCCGGCTTTCGTGGCTGGGGATGTCTCAAAACAGGACCCTCTGGAAACAAAAAGCTTCACCTTAGGAGGGCCCCACACCCTGTAATAGTGACTATAAGGGATAATAAGGACCATGTTAGGGTCCTCTTATATTCCTATTATACCTCTATTACAGGGTGGGGGGGTCCTCCTAAAGTTTGCCTTTGACCTCGAGTACCTCCAATGTAATTCATGATGATTACCTTTTGCACTAAGAGGAACAACCCATAAAACTGAAGGTAATTGGGCTTACAGGGTTTATGGTTCAGGCTTAGAAATCAGGGCTTCAGGGCTTTGGGTTCAAGGTTTGTAGCTTTGGCTATAGCCTGAATAAGATGTCGCCTTGGAACCCTAAACCCTAAACCGTAAACAAACCCTAAGCCCCAAGCCCTAAGCCCTAAACGCTAAACGTTAAACCCAAGCCCGAAACCCTAAGCCTCAACTTGCATTCGAACCTCATTTTAGGATCTGTTGGACTCCCAATGGTCTGAACTCTCAAAGTCTACTCGGAGGGTCCTGAACACCCAGTAAATGGGGTAATAATTGTGATGAATGCAGTCGTTTCTGGCTTATGAAGATTATGAACGTACTTACTAAGCACCCCCGACCCTCCAAGCTCGAGGCTGAAACAACCCCAAAGCGCTTAAGGCCCGGACCACTGAATCACTGCTTCGTTACAGGACTTTAGGGTTTAGGGCTTCGATACGCACAGTCCCTTCACTGGCTGATTTCTCCTGAGTGGATCTACACATTGCTCGCATGTCCGGCGTGCTGGTTGTGGAGACAGACACCTACTCCAGCACCTTCTTGCGCTTACTGCTCCTAAGATATCAGGCGCTAATCACATGGGAAAGCTTCTGGCCCTCATTTTCTGGGACTGGGACTACAGGACGAAGTTTAGGGCCTAGCAGATCGATCCCCCAAAACCTTCTAACCCTGAACCCATATTCCTTCCACCTTGTTTTGCTATGACACCCACCGAGTTTGGACAACACCAACTAGGCACGACACCTACAAGGGGTGCTGTGGCACAAACAGCGTCAAACAATGCAACCGGTGCCAACCCCCAAACATCAAACTTGAGCCCTAAACCTTGAACTGTTCTCGCCCACCTACTCCCGGTCCATGACTATCAGTGCGTGCGGGGAGCCCCTAATTTAACACTTACTTCTCACGTCTACAGACCATTTAATAACTCGAGCTATCCCCATCTCTAGCCCACTTCCTCGGTTCCTGCGACCCTTGTCGTAGGCCTGCAAATCCATATATAATACAACCTGTACACTATGATTTGAAACAGCATAGTCTCCCTTGTATACATATATGATATATGCGTATAATAGAGTCTAGGGTCCAGGATCTAGACCTTAAATTCCATCCCCTGTAAACCTGAAGTCCTGCAGACCTGGAACCAACAATCCTCGTGCCTCTCCGAACTCGAAAATTGCCCGAAACCCACCACTATGGGCTATTAAACCCTAAGATTCCCTATTAGGACCTATTAAGGGTAGAGTAAGGTACCCTTAAGGTCTAATAGCCAATAGTGGCAGCCAGCAAAGGCATTTTCCATTTAGCTTTTTGTCAGCAAGTTCAGAACGCTGGCTTAGATGCAAGACACGCGCACCACCATTCAAGCTATAGTCTAAACTCCTTGTATCCCCTTTATAATCTCTTAATAACCTCTTTCATAGTCCCCTATATAATCCCTTATATAACCTCTTTTGAGGACTTCAGACTACAGCTCGTTTGGGGCAGGGTCGGGTGAGGTCAGGGCGGTAGATTTAGGTATTTCAATTTGCTCGGAGATCGCAGCTGGTGGATTGAAGGATCTTGTTTGCAGTGCCACTACAATCGCTCAAACCCAAACTCTCAGAATCTTGAGAGTAAACGGCAGAAGCAAAAAAGCCTACGCCCAAAATCATAACCTCAGACATCTCATCGAATGCTTGTTCCCCTAGTCAGGCTTATTACGAAACACTCGTTTCATTGGTAAAAATACTTTTGTTTGAGACACCATAGGATGTCAACTGGCTGGTTCTTGGGCTCCTTACCTAAACCCCCTTAACCCCATAAAACCCTTGTAAATGCAGTTTCCATTTCAGCTTCCATATTTCCATCGGGCTATCCATGATTCTACTACAGGGGCCTAAATAATTAGCAATGTCATTTCGAGGTCCATTTGAGGTACCATAGACCATAGCTATGTAAGGAATATGGAAACACAATATGGGCAATTATTCTCTAAACCCCAAACCCTAAATCCTACACCCTTAGGAATATGGAGCCATAATATTGTAACTATTTAGGCCCCTATATTACTTGCTTAGGCCCCTGGCCCTGCTGTGAACAGACACGCCTCGGAGAAGTCTGCGTGTGGGAATTCTGCTTGCAGCTCCTGTGGAAACCCTGTACCGTTCGGGTGTAGGGTTTAGGGTTTAGGGCTTTTGGGTTAAGGGTACCTTTAGGGGTGTAGGGTTTAGGGCTTAAGGTTAAGGGTACCTTTAGGGGTGTAGAGTTTAGGGCTTTTAGTTGAGTGATCGTTTAGGGTTGGCCCGAAGGTCCCACAGTGAGCTATTTGTGTCCCGCGAGGAAAGCGTTTTGATGTTCCTGCGGAGGTGGGTGAGTAACGTTCCTTCGTTCGAGACAGAGAGAGAGAGAGATGATATCATATTCATATATCTATATATATATATATGTGTGTATATGTATATATACATGTATGCATTTGTGTGCCCCCCGCCCCCCCCCCCCTCCTGGCACCTGTCTCACCTTTTAGCCTAGGTTCCTCAGTAACTCCTTACTTCTAAGGGGTCTCCCGGTTTAGGGTCCAGGGTTCCCCAGTAATCACTTAATAAGGGGTTACCCTATTAGGGTTTAGGGTTTGGAGTTTCGGGGGTTTACTGGACTGCGGCTCATGGCGTTCTAGACAAAGTGAACTTGGTGGCTTCGCCTGCGCTCTAAACCTCGAGAGCTCTGGAATCACCCGAGTGTAATAGCTGCCGCTAGGCTTAATGCGGTCTGATTCACAGAGTCTTCTATACACATGTGTCACGCGCTTCAAAGCGGACTCGTCGCTCACTTCGTGGAGTTGCTGCGTGGCTGGCCACTTGACTTCTCAGCCGCAATCTAAAACTCTGCCTGGTGCTAGTGTGATTTTCCTGCTCAAAAGGTGACATGCTGACTTGGATGGACTGTTTCGGCTTCAACAACATTGAGACAAGACATCGCCACTATCTTTTGCGCCATCTCTACAATTGCGTGCGAAGACAGAAGCAGAATGTTAAGTACAGAGGAGGTTGTTTAGTTTACTGTGAGCAGAGGTGCTAGAACACGGATTTTCAGAGCGATAAGTTTGCCAACGCGGTGACTGGAGCCATACCCTGGAAAGTACCTTCGACTCCATCTAAAGCGTCTTTCTACACACCTTCAAAGCCGCCAGCATACACTATGTGTATATATACATATATTTATGCATATATCTACATGTACTTATATATCTCTATCTAGGGATGGCGTTCATACAGATGAGGGGAGTGGGCAGTCCGTTTAGGTAGGAGTCTTGGGGATATATGTTGTCCATAAATATGCATGTAGTATGACCGAGAATAAGTAGGCTGCCCAAGACAGGACCTTGATTTTGATGCACGATAGTAATTCCGAGGCTAGAGGATATTGACTTGTGATAATCAACGCAGGGTTCCTTGTGGGGGTCCTTGCGCTTTTATGAGGGGGGTTGATGAGGTCTATGCATGCCCCCTCAACGGAGCCCCCACACCCCGAACAGGTCTGAGGGGGCTACATTGAGCGTGGCCATAGCGCCGCTGTGATTCTGGGGTGTCTCAGCGCCATTTGAGCAAAGGTCTCGCTTGTGCGGGGTTGAAAGGTATCGCATTTTGTTTTACATCTCAAGGATGTCTCTCTCTCTCTCTCTCCCTCTCCCTCTCTCTCTCTCTCTCTATGTATCTCTACGTATACATATATTTATATAACGTATATATATATATGTGTATATATAAAGAGAGAGCCAGAGACAGAGATTTTTGGAATTTGTGTACCCTCAACAGACCTTCTAACATTCTAGCACCCCGAAGCCAAGAACCCAAAGCAAGCGCATCCCTGACCCCAGACCACTAAACCCTACACTGGGAGACGGAGCATTGCGTGCCTGTCAGGAGACGGATGATAGAACAAATCGCCGAGTACTGTCAAACCAAGCTTGAACCTTAGCCTAGACCCTAGACCCTATAGGGTATCCTTTGCAGGGGCTTATAGGGGCTATATAGGGATGATGGAAAAATGGAAGCTACTATTCAGAGTTTAGGCTTTAGGGTCTCTGGACCCGAAGCTTACCTGAACCCTAAACTCAAACCTTGAAACCCTAATGACCTGAACTCAAGACCCCAAGCCGTGAAGCCCTGCACACTAAACTCAAGGAGACGAAGGCCGAGCACTCAAGCTCCTGAAAGCCTGCTAGCAAACTTTGCGTGAACTCCTCACTTCTCTGTTTGGCTAGGATTTCGATTGTCGTTCACAGAAAATGAAGACGAGGAAAAAAGAACACGGACCACGACATGGTTGGGAATAATCTGACGGCTACAATAGGGATCCGTTCCTCCAATCCTATCTGAGAATCAGTGAGTCAAATAGTTGGAGCGGCGTGCTTAAAGCCTACTACGTCATGTTGGTTTCCCAAAACTAGGAACCAGGATTGCAAGACTATAGCTACGAAATAGGTTGTCGGTAACGCGCGGCTCCGAGCAGATACTTCATGAGATTAACTGGGGTTACGATGCCAACAATGGAGATTTCTGCTTGGGAATAAAAAAGAGCCCTTTGTTTCCAACGCACACCCCTTGTGAGGGTTCCAGCAACCTTGCATAACAAGGGCTTGCTCAAAACGAAAGTGCAAAGTCTCCGTTGTTGCCTGACATGATAAACACCAAGTTTCAACGTTTAATCCCAAATGAGCTAGAGTCTAAACTCCTAGTACCCCCCTGAATAATCCCTATACTAGTCTCCGATATAATCCCCTATGTAGCCCTTTCAAAATCCCCTGTATAACCCTTTTAGGAATTCACAGCTGCCATCCATAAGTCAAAGCGTGAACAGCCAGGGGTCCTGGATAGATCGTCGAGAGTCGCATGGCTGATATTGCTTCCCGCAGAACTCGCGAAGAGCCTCGGACAGGGGCAAGGCTTTGGGAGTTCTAGTCTCCCTTCAATAAGTAGAATGTGGGACTTCTCCAAAATCATAAGACCCTCATGTACCCCATATTGTATCTACTTGAGGGGACTATCATGTTGGACCCGTTTAGGTTTTAGGGTTTGGGGTTGAACCTCTTTACAAGGCCGCCTGTCATGTAGGTCTGCGGCCGCTTAAACAGCTCCAGGACAAGTATAGGAGACCCTCTTTAGGGCTTGGGGCTTATAATCCCCTAAACCCTAAACCCTGGGTTCAGGGCTTAGAGTTGATACAGATACATGTGTTGGTTTCGGAATCCCAGCAGAAATTTCCCCTGTACACCAAACCCAGAGCTATCAGACCAGTGGGAGGCTGTAGAACAAGGGCCTGGGTTTAGGGTGTAGGGTTTAGGATCTAGAGTTTTGGCTTGAGAATTTCAGGTTTAGGGTTTAAGGCTAAGGTTTAGGCCTGATATTTTCGTTGTCTGGCCCCTCCCCTTCTTTTAAGGGCTGGTCATAAAAGATTGTGGAGGTCCAGCATTACGGAAGGTTTCTCCAAATTGCAGAGCTCTTCTTGTCATCCGCACTGCCGGGATTTCTTTGCAGGGAAGGCCCATGACAGGATTGTACTCATTGAGTTAATAACAACACAAACTGTGTTCGTTCATTGAGTAGAGTTTGCAGCGAGAGCGAAAGGTGAGACAAATAAACTTCAGAAAATTAGATTGCGTTGTTCATTTCTTCGCTGGTTGTTAGTTTACCTTCGCAACTAAACACAATCAAAAAGAAATAACAAAACAAGGGAAGAAGAGAAGGCGTGAACTGAATTGTTCTTTTCGTGGGTAACTCAGGCATCTTACGAAACGCTCGGGTTCTCTAGACTGTTATTTACAAGAAACTAAAGCCTGTCAGCTTGTTATAAGGTGTGTTTTCCCTGCCTAGCGCCCATGCCCCCCTAAACCCTAAACTCTAAACCCTAAACCCCCATTCAACATTGCGAGGAGAAGTTTTTTGTTTCAAGCCCCAGTCCTAATTGAGACATCAATCTCACGCTATCTGGTTTTTGATTGTGCCAAGTTCGTTAGAGATTTCCCGGGTCAAGCTCAATTGCCTATACTTGGGCTCTGCAATCAAGGAGCTTCAAGTAACGAGTGCGGTGCTTGATCTTTTATATGGACCCCTCAAAAAGGTACCCTTAATTCTGGAAACCCGAATCCCCAATTCCTAGACCCTAAACCCTACATAAGCCCTATACACCCCTAATTGCACGGAACCCCAACAAAGAGGTGCCCCTAAGAGTCCGAAACCCCCTGTTGAAGTATAGTCTAAACTCCTAGCATCCCCCATAATAAGCCCTGTGATACTCCCCTACATCATCCCTTATATAACCCCCCTTTATGGAGTTTAGACTATAGCTCATTTAAGAACAAGAGGGTTGGGTGCGTGGATTGCAATAAGGGTGCTCCTTTCCTAGTACAAGGCCACAGTGGGGTTTCTTGAAAAAAGGGTTCTTAAACCAGGGACCCTAAACCCTAAATCCGAAACCGGTATAACCCTAGGGGTACAACCCTGAACACCGTGATAGATGGGAGGAACATACACCTTCAAACCAAACATCAGAAAAATCCTAAACCCTAAACCCTAAACCCTAACCCCAAATCCCTGAAGCCGCAAAACCACCAAGACACCCAAATTAACGAAGCCTACGTCCCTCAACCCCTAACACCCGTAAACTCAACATCAACTTGGTGCGGAAAGACCAAAGTGATAAAAGGCAACCGAACCCCCCCAAAAAGGACTCTATAACTATCATGTAAATCACGGTCTTTAATGACTATCTGTTTTCAGTACAATAACAAACTCTTTCAACGAAGGCCGTCCGCGACTGCAAAGCTCTTTCAGCTCGACTTCCTGACTTGCTTCCGCGAGAAGGCCTCCAAGGTACAGTTCTCTTCCGCGAACCTTGCGCGAAGACATGCTTCCGCGTAGCTCCCAAGGAGCCTGCGCGTCCTGCTGCGCATGTTTTCGGATGGCAACTCTCTCAATCATTGTGATTCCATTGCCAAAAATCTACACTGCTGCTAATATGATTATTACTAGGCTCCTAATCTTGGGTCCCACATTCCTCCGTTCCCTACTCCTAAAAGACCAAAATCCCAGCCCTACCCTAGCCCCGAAACCCTAAACCCCAAGTAACGGAGGTCGCCTCCAGGGCGTATAGCCGAGGGCCGCCAGGCTCATCACAGCCAAAAACCTCTGATTCTTGAATTACCTCCCCGCACCCCCCTGATCATACGTATTCCTCGCATGCCATATCGGGCCTTTACTAAAGGGCGGGGGACTTATAAAGGGGAGTGGACTACCCTACGTGAAAATTGGCTTTAGGTTTTACGGCTATTTGGAGGTCCAGGGTAGGTAAAACTTGCATTGCGTAGGGTCTAAGGTGTACCTGGCTGCTTGGGTGCCCAGGGTATTCAAAACTTACTACTTAGCCACACACTTATAACCCAGAAAGATTAGAGGTAACTATATTTTTGGGACTTCCGTTTCTTCCTACTAGTTGTTAGTAGTAAGGAAAGGAGGAACCGAAAAAGGAAGCGGAACTACTCTACTATTAGGTTATTGAAGGGCTGCTACCGTACTGGCTGATGGTTCTGGGCTCTGGGAGGACCCCCCAAATATCATTCATCAATCAAATCAATAAATTCGCATAATATGCGAATTGTATATTATGTATATGTTTGACTCTAAACCCTGAAGCCCTAAACACGAAAACCCTACAGAGCGTGAAGCAAACATCCCGAAGTGCCACTTAATTCTGCTCTGTATAAGATATTTTTTTATCCCCTACTAACCACCCGTAAGCCTTTCACATTAAAGGGAGGCTTGTAAATCCTTGGATTCCAGAGTGCGTGGAAATGCCGGTTCAGGCGCAGTTACAACCCTCTTTGCCTGGATAGGTTGAAGGAGACCTGGGAAATGACGGGGCGCTTAAATGTTCGGGTTAGTGACATGGACTTCTCAAGTTTGAGATTGAGATTCTCCCTACCCTCACAGGCCCTAACATAACAAAAAGCCTCTTGAAAAGCTCCTAAGCCCTAAACCCCACAAAAAAAAAGAAAAAAATAAATAGCAGTTCCCATTTTATTTTCCATTATCCCAATATAACCCTAAACCCTAAGCCCTATATAAGGCTTATGAAGGCTGACGGTGTAGGATCATGGCTTTAGGGTTTGAGGGTTGAGGACGGCTTGGGATTTACGAGCCATTGTAAGAAAACCTGAATATTAGGCAATGTACTATTTAGGGTTTAGGGTTTAGGTTTCAGGGTCCTGAACTAAGGTAATGTACTATATCCCTTTCATAGAAAGCCCCTTATACCCCTACTGCAAAAGTCAAACAGTAGGTTTGTAACCCATTGGAAGCCCGCCAGGGTCCGGCAAGCGCGGGGCAGCCCTGGTCTGCCCAATTTTTCTTTGCACAATGGCAATTTGCACCTCGACCGCAAGTTAACTTTCAGGTACGTGTAACAGGAACATGGGAAACCTTAATGATCTGCGTAGCAATGTGCTCGGATTCGAAATCCTTCAAAGAAACCTGAAAGGAAGAGAGTTGCTAGTGAATACCGCCTCTGTACAGGCAGGACAAAAACCCAGTGGGACAAAAAACCCTGCCGCTAGGTGCCAAGGAGTTTGAGGTGGGTGAATGCCGTCAACTTCCATTAGAGCGTGCCCAACCACCTCGAATTGCGCTTCCATCTCTTGCCGGACTCCCTCTGAAGCGCAACCCGATTGACACACAAGCTTCTTCCAGAAGAAGGTCCACATCTTGCTCCCGACGCTGAAGGCCATGTTCAGAGGTACATCATTGGCCTAGGCATGGCTCAAAATGAGAAGGATAGTCTGCATTGGACCCCATCCATGAAGCCTTGGTGTTACCAAAGCCAAGGCTGCCGAGAACCAGCCATCTTCGCAGGGAGCTTGGCTTTGCTGAGTGCTATGTCTGGATGGCGAGGGCGGTTTACCCCAGCCGCCTGGTGGTGCGTGTGTGTGGGGGAGGCGCGCCGTAAGGCGTGCCGTGGGAGGCCTCGAGAATCCGTCATTTTTGCAGGGAGCTCGGCATTGCTGAGCGCTAAGTCCGGATGGCGAGGGCGGTTCTACTCCAGCTGCCGCAAGGATTGTGTGCAGTGTCTTCCTCTTCGAGGTGGGGGAGTTTGCCTTCAAGGTGAACATTGACTTCGAGGAGGTGTGGGGAACAGGATACGTTGGCATCTTGTTATGCTGATGTCCCTTGCAGCATTGCACACTTATGGAAAGCCACAGGATTCCTGGTTTCAAGAACACGGCAGGGGACGTCATGCTGCACATTTGGTCTCCTTGACTGGAATTTGTTTGCTGGCTGTCGCCAGAGTTATGCAGGGCAGAGGGGGCGACCATCTACAGCCTCTACAGCCTTGGTCGTTCGTTGTGATGGGAATTCGTTTCTGGGAGTCAAGAAGCCCGTTTACGACTTTGTTGACCTCCATCAACTTTGGGCAGACTTCTTCGGTGACAGTGTTGCTGTTTCAGTGACAGGCGCCGATGATATGAGGGCGCAGGAGCCTTGCGTGTCTGAAATCCATCAAAACACGCTGGGCACATCTTGTGGGACCGCGGGCGGCCACCGACTGGGCTGGTTCGGCAGGGATTGGCCGTGTCTAGGTATTACTTCGCTTCTTCTTCCATCTCACCCCGTCCATGTGTTGTTCTGAACGGCTTTCGCCTTTGCCGCTGCCTACTTGGCCACCAGCTCGGCCTCTTCCATGCAAGCTTAAATATATAGTAGTTTCCATCTTCTTNNTTTTCCAATATCCCAATATAACACCTACGTACTATAGTATTTTCCATGCAAGCTTTCCTTGCTGGCTTCTTATGAGTAGTTGTGTCCCTCACCTCGGTGTCCACAGAAGCTGTGTTCTCCGACTCCTTGATGTTGAGGCAATGCTGCGTCTTGTGGTTCCCCCAGTATTCTCTTTTCTAGTGGTAACTATAAGAGACCTCAGGAGGCTACTTGGTTGTAAGTTATAACTTGTATCATCCCCACCTAGCTCTAACATAAATAATACGGGGGGAAACTACCCACCCAACAATTCCGTAGATGATGCTACATGTTGATGTGATTCAATTTTAATGGGACGATATGTAGAAACCTGCTCTCGAGCCCCTAGCAGCAGTCGCAGTCTGAAGTGCCCGAGTCAACGGAGATGCGATAACCACGTCGACCTGAAAAGCCGGCCGAGCGCTTCGGTTCTGGGCTGTTCTTCTCTAATGGTTGAAGCTGCTGCTAGTGCTAGTGCTATTGCT